AGCCAGGCTTTCGTCAACGTTCCTGCAAAAGCAGGTGTCTGATGGACAGGCATGCTCGGCCAGTCACAGCAGGCAATTTATCTCCTAGTATGCAAGTCCCGCCCCTGGTTCCTCATTGGCTGAGTACTACAGAAGTTACAACCTTACCCGGGTGTCGCCTATGCCCATATACGGCGTGGTAGTAAGGTAAAAAATAGTCTGATGAGGGGACCCTGGGTGGCTCAGTCGGTTAAGCATCTGACTTCAGCTCTGGTCATGATCTCGTGGATTGTGAGTTCAAGCCCCGCGTCGGGCTCTGTGCTGACAGCTCAGGGCCTGGAGCCTGCTTCAGATTCTCTGTCTCTCCATCTCTCCATCTCTCCATCTCTCGGCCCTTCCCCCTGCTCGTGCTCTTTGTCTCTATCTCTCAATAACAGATAAACGTTAAAAACAAACAAAGAAAGTAGTCTGATGGGAGCAAATGTACATTTCCTGAGGTGACACAGTCTTTCAGTCCTTCCTCCCTCTGGTCTTTGACACATGCTCATTGCAAAGCCCACGAAAATAAGCCTCTGAAACGGAGAGGGTAAGAACCAGGAAGTGAAGTGTTGAAGGGATTGGGACTCCATTATGGGGGGGGGGAGTTCATATATATTTCTAACAGGTTGTAAACCTTCTGTTAACTAGACAGCACAGCTTTTATTTGGTATTTCTGAAAATGAATCAATCCTGTCTTTTCTCACACCCACTAAACTCAGTTCTGTGAGGTAAGGGTCTTGTTTACTTCAGTTTTTCCATTGTCTAGCACATTGCCCAGTTCAGTAAATATTATTTGAATAAATTAAACCTTTTTGCAAAAGCAATGGTGGGGTGCCTGGCTGGTTCAGTCAGTAGAGCATGTGACGCTTGATCTCAGGGGTATGAGTTTGAGTCCCATGTTGGGGGTAGAGTTTCCTTAAACAACAACAACAACAACAACAATGGTAGGGGTGCCTGGGTGGCTCAGTCGGTTAAGTATCTGACTTCAGCCCAGGTCATGATCTTGCAGTTAGTGAGTTCAAGCCCCACATCAGGCTCTGTGCTGACAGCTCAGAGCCTGGAGCCTGCTTTGGATTCTGTGTCTCCCTCTCTCTCTGCCCCTCCCCTGCTTGCACTCTGTCTCTCTCTCAGGAAATGAATAAACATAAAAAGAAATTTTAAAAAGCAAAGGTAAACATAACAGTGATATTACAAAATTAATTTCTGAACTGTACCTACCCATCTCCTTCTGGTTTATTCCTTTATTTGAACCATTCTGTGGGTCTCTTTGTTACGGCAGCATGGCCTATGTTTTTTGAAAAAAGATTAAGAGCACCATGAAATCATGAAATCTCAGCCTACTTTGAAGAATATTTTTAAGGAGTTCAAAAATCAAATTGAACCAGTTTCAATGAAAATAGAATCTGCTGAGGTCTAATTTTATTTTTCTTTTCTTTTCTTTTCTTTTCTTTTCTTTTCTTTTCTTTTCTT